ATCTACCTACTTATTATTATAAAAACAAACTAAACTAAAATAGGAAATCGAAATGGTAAAATGTCTTCACTGAAATGTGGGAATTCTCAGAGAGTGCACTACTGAAGCAGATTAATTGTTTTCAAAAGTAACTTCAACTTCTTTTGTTTTATGTATAAGTTGCAGAAGTTTGGATTCCCTAGGCCGTACATTTTGCACCACTTTAATTTTGTACTCGACTTTGAATTTCTCCGCACGTTCAAAGGAGTTACTGCAACAGTTGCCAAAACATTCATCTGGTTCGCGGTAGTTGTTGTTCTGACTACGCCAACAGTAATTTAATTTTTTTGCTATCGTAACTTTACCATAGTAAAAATCATTAATAACATTTATAGTTTACACTTAGTTCTGTGTCATAATATTGAAAATAATTAAAAAATAATAGTTTTTTACGCTGTGTTTACTATAATCCTATAATTGTACTAAATTCTACAACACTTATGTTTAACAATAACACGCGTTGTAAGATTCATTAATATTATTTTATCAATTTATTGATATTTACAATTTTCTTGTTAATAGAAAATGACTTCTGTAATATACGATTTACATTTGTGCCGGAATAATAGCAATAATATTCCTTTTAAGAGCAATGCTTCCTTTGGTATTGAAAGATCCGACGAAGTTCACTTGGTTTTATTGTCTAGGAAGTGAATATTGCTTCGTGTTGAGAGGAAAAATCGATTTTCAATTCTCCTATCAAAAAGCAGTAGAAATATTATTTAAATTTCCTTAACTCGAATTTCGACGATCTGCCTCCGGTCAAATTTGCTTTAAAAAGCGACGTGGCATAAATTTATTCCGAGCGCAGTTCGTTTGCATCTCGTTTCTACTAACAGAAAAGACGCAATCTTTAATTAAGTTTTAAAAATTCATTATTAAGTAAACGATCTAGTTTCGTTTGACGTAAAATTCTGTCGAGCTTCGTAACGTTTGTGATAACCAATGAAGTTAGAATCAAAGGGGTTATGAGAATTTTTTCCCAGTCAATAATAAAATCACATTCGAAGAGCCTTATTTTTTATTTAAATAATTGGTAGAAACCAATAGAATATCATAATTCAGTTGGTGATTTTTAAAATCCTCAGAAGATGGGTTTGTAAAAGATGACACAAAATATGTTTTTTTTTCAATTAATTATGATAAGAATTAGTCTACAGTTGATAAATATCTTTTTTTTAATATTAAAAATATCCCCACCCAAAAGTAAGTAAAATTTTAGATTCGTAAACTATTAAAATGTTGTCAACAGCAACTTTTATGACCTCATCAAAGGTATTACGTGTAGGTATCTTAAATCCACCTTACTGGCCATAAAGGACAGAACAACTGAAAGAGAAATATTAGGAAAAAGGGCATTGAACATTGTTGCTGAAGAACCTGAAGCAGTAGTTAAGAATGACTGCTGCTGTACATAAAGTTAAGTGGACCAGTAATAGCTTATGTCCTTAATGGTATTATAAGAAGAAGAAGAGATTTATTAACAGACTTCAGTTTCGCCCCCAAGTTATTTATTTTGTGTTACTATTGTTTAGGTGTACATTTTTTAATCGCACTGTAGATAAGTTTACGTATCTTGTATATACTACAGAGGTTTATCGAAAGTCACACATTAAAATTATATTATTCATATATTTGATATGATAAAAAGAGTAAATTTCTCTCTCTGCAACTTTGTTTTTGAAATCATTAAGAAAATGCAGGTCTAATTTATAATATTCTATCACAAAATACTAGGTATTATATAAAATACCCAAGACTATCAGACACGTTATAAAATAAATTATATTGTATATGTTACCGGCAAAGTTTAAAATACGACATTGTATATAATTCCTAGGTATTATATAGAATTCCTAAAACTGCAAGGCATTGTGTGAAACAATTTACATTTTATACATCTCCTAGGCATTTTATAGAATGCCGATTTAAAACTCGGTAATGTACAGAATATTATGCGTAAATCTGGCAAACATGTTTGTGGCGCTGCGCTCATTTCTTTGTTCCTGTTTAGTTTAGTACTGCATCATACCTCTCGTCGTGTACACGTTCCTTTTGTGTCATAATATGTCCGATTTTATGCAGAATTAAAAACTAAAAGGCTTTCAAATGCAAATAACTGTGTTTATATTGAAGATGATCACTACAAAGTGTTAATTAATGATGTTAATAGTGCGAAATCAACAACGAAAAAGGTTCTTCGGGATTATTGGTTGCTGAAACGTTATGATATTTTGATAATTGATCAAAATGTCAAGCTTATATTTCCTGTTACAGAATCTGGGAGCAACATACTTTACTACGTCTACGTACTATTCGATGTTTTACATAAAGCTCATATCACTATTGGTCATGGGGGAAGAGATCGTATGATTAAAGAACTGCCGATATAAAAACGTAACCCTTTCTGATATAGAACTGTATATTCAACTTTGCGAACCATGTCAACGAAAACAAAAGGGTGTTAGAAAAGGTATTGTTGTCAAACCTATTATTCCTTCTGAATTTAATTCTCGTTGTCAAGTAGACTTGATCGACTTTCAGTCACATCCAGATGGTGACTATAAATTCATATTGGTTTACCAGGACCATTTAACTAAATTCGTTGTGTTAAGAGGTCTTAAATCGAAACTGGGGGAAGAGGTTTCTTATGTTTTGTTAGATATTTTGTTAGATGAAGGATTAAGATTCGTACAGCTACTGACAAATAGTGCCTATTATTCTGCAATTAAACGAACACCTTACGACACTCTCTTTGGATGCAAAGTAAAAGTAGGTATATCATTACCAAAGGAAGTTGCGCAAAATCTTGAAGGCGAACAAAAATAAAATGAAATATGCATGAAGATAGTAATGAAACCGAACCTTCTCAGAACTCAACCTCTAAAACGTCGCCGGAACAGCTTTTAGTAGCCAGATAATATATAACTAACGAACCATCAAGTACAGAGCATGTAACTAAAGAACCACTCGATATTGGAGATATGAGTCACGAGCCATCAGATACTACTCGTGTATGTTGTGTATGTTTTGAGGAAACTACTGGAACTCAGAGTTGCAAAGCATGTAAACAAACTATTCATTCTATCTGTGCTGTACCAGAAGATTCAAAAAGTGATGAGGGGCGTGCGTGCGTCCTTTATGTTCAAAAACGCTACTGGTAACAGAAAATCGTTACTCTGGGACAAGAAACCTAAAACAACAAGCAGAAAAAATGTTAAAGCATAGTGATATCCCTTCAGTATCTGTCGGTACAACGGTCAGAGTCCCAGTGCCCAAAGTTGATAGGAGGCGAAGTGATGCTCGCAATGTTCTAGCAATAGGAATAAGTAAAACAGACTATGAACTGTACCAGCTCGGTACTAAAAAAGGAGTCGTTAAATCGCTCTATGCCAGATCACAGTTTACAGTGTGTTAGAAAAGATTTTTAGAAATTAAAGATATTTCAGATAAAGAAATTACATTACGGTCAATTGCAACATTGCAGTCTGTCGGAACCGCTCAAGGATTTGTTAGATGCATTTGCAAAAAGAACCGTGGATCAGTGAGATGCACGTGCATTAAAAAAAAGACACTTTGTTCAAGTAAATGCCATTTAAGTTTTACCTTGCAAAAATAAATAGAAAAAGCGGCATCGATAGGTTTTGAAACATATTTGAACGTTGTCTGATTTTTTTACTGAGTATAAAACCGCGGAGATCACACTCACCACCCTTGTTTTTTTGCAATAGGGGTGGTTTGTTATTATTTTTTTTTAGATTTTTTTTCAGCTTGTAGAAAACAATATTCTCAACAATTTTGCCTTACAAAAGTTTTTGTAACTTTAATATTTCAAGGCCCAGAGCCCTTATTATTTCTGCTAATAAATCCAAAACTAACGACTTTCAAGAAAAATACCTAGATACGATTTTTGAAGCTGATAAAATTTCCTATCCAACAGTTTACATCAACCCTCCAAACCGTTAGTGGTGCACGTTCCATACGCGTCCCAAAAATAGTTTTTTTTTTCGAAAATTGTACTCCCTATCAGACCGTCTAAGTTTATTTTACTGTAATTAGGGTTAATAATAATAAATATTTTTATATTATAATATTCGAAAAATTTTTGTTATGCTCCTGCTTCGTTCGTTAAATTAAAGACTAACAACCATTTCAATAGGTTTTAAAACATATTTTAACGATGTAATAAAGTAAAGAATAATAAATACTTTTATTTTATTTTTCATTTAACACTTTTCCAAATATTACATGGGCATTCTATAAAATTCCTAGTTATTTTATGAAATGCCTAGGCAAAGTGTAAAAAAATATCATTATTTATTTTATAAAGTACCTAGGTTTTATACAAAATGCCTTGGTTTTATACTTTGCCGGTAACATATAAATTTTTTAATGGAATACCGATTTGGTAATTGGCAAGTTTAGTTAAATTAGTTAGTTCTTTTTCATACAACACTCTAGCCTTTCATGCATTAATTAGAATCCACCTGCAACTCTTATTTTACACATTTCCTAATATTACAATGTATCTGTATATCAGGAAAAACTATATATTTTTAATTATTCTGCATGTGTCTTCAGAGGTACTTAGTTAATATTAGTATCCAACGCAATTAAAAATAATTTTACAGGCTTTTATCTTAAACTAACTATAACGTCAATAACATATGAACAATTAGCAATAAGTAAATAATAAAACGTAATAAATAAATGACATATACACCATACAATCGTGTTTCAGAAATAGTTAAAAATATTATCAATCGCGCAGCATGAATAGTTGCCGTTAAATTGTTTAAAAAGGCGATGCTATATTTTCGAAATTTTTATTTAGGGCGTGGAATAGTTTTATTCAAAAACAGTATATCCATATGCAACGAGAAAGATAAGAATGGTTCGATAACTCATATTAGAAGGTAACCTCCAGGATACAAATTATCTATGTATGTTAATTTACTCACGATGTATATCTAATTTCCAGCCATCTTCCATTCCACTATCTGGTATTTGAGGTTGTTGTCCTCTGCATGATAAATATTTTCCACCATCGTCTACAGTAGGGACGAATGTCAGTATACTCGTTGTCACATTTCCGTCAGGACTCGTCTGAAACCACATCACAAATATATATGTAAAACACGTGCTGAAAAGTTATAATCTTTTGCGTAGTTAATTATTTCTCATTTGGTGGCGAAAATTTGGAAAACGCATTTAGAAACAATGATTACTAACCTAATAAGCTAGAATTTTAATTAAATGTCTCTCACATATTTTCAATCCATCCAATCCAATCGATAGAGGAACGGTATTAGCAATATCTTCCCAACTGAATACAAAGCGAAAGTTTTTGTACAACTACATAAGGGCTTTATCCACGGAAAATTAACCAAGTGAAGGATCTATTACAATTACAGTGCGCAAATTAAATTAGTTAATTACGCGGTGCTTGATGGCCAGGACAGCATTGCTTTTAATATAGCGTTTATTAGTTCGTCTTTCTTTCTGTTTTATGCCAAGGTTTACGTGTCCAAGAACTTTATGACAGGAAAGTATCCAGCGTCACGTAAATGCACAAAATAAAGCGTCTTTATGTTCATTAACTTATCCACAAAATGACGAACAAAAATGAGTATTTCATTCTGATAGATGCTGAAAATAAAAAAAAACTAGATAGGTTCTAATGGATATTACGTGTGCTTTTTATAAATCTTCCTAAAACAGTCCCTACTTGAGGTGGTTCGATTTCAAGTTCATTAGATAGGTTGATCTATATTAAAAACATTAGAAAGCTTAAACTGATTTGCAATTTAAGGGTATTACATAATGACTCTAAAATATAGATACTTGATTTATAATGGTTGTTTTTCCAGTTCGCTATTGTATGAAAAAATATGCTTTTAGTTGGAAAAAATGTGTAGAATATGTCATCGAAGAAAAAAATGTTCACCAGTACCAGAGTCAATTATTAATGTGGGGGGACGAGTCCAGTGACGATAGTGATGATTTTGATGTAAAATAAATATTCTAATATTGTTTTATAGCAAAATTTACTCTTTCATTTATATTTATAATAAACATTTTAAAGTAAGAATGGATTTTTTTCACTGCAAGGACTAATAATAATCGAGGAATCTCACCGATGAAACTCAAATCCGTCAGCTTTCAACAAGTACCGAGGTACGGTTCTGGAAGGTCATTGTGGAATTGCTATTCTATTTAGCATTTACAAAACTTCTGGACTCCTGCGTCGGTTATTGTTGAGTCAAACTTGCTGAAGTTTCGCCAATCACCCTGTTGGCTTCTTTAGAACTTAACTGAAACTGAATAAGCCAAAAGGATAATTGGCGAAATGTTAGCAAGTCCGACTCAACAACAACCAATGCAAGAGGAGTCCAGAAGTTTTGTAAATGGTATTACAGTAGCCTGTGGAAGTTTCTTTGCGAATCTATTCAGTAAGGGTTACAAAGAGAAACCCAAGCGATTAGACCTCCATAAAAATTTGACAAAGTTAAATACCGGATTATGTCGTAAAAACGGTATATCGTTAGGAGAACTATAAGAAAAACAATTACCGATTCTTTCCAAAAATGTAGGCTTTATATAAAAATCTAGTACCTTGCAGCATCTACAAACATCGTCTTTGTAGCCAGGAATGTTTTTATCTATACTATATTATATATACTATACTATACTATACTATATTAGATATTAGGAAATTAATCGAACAGATACAAAGAATTTTTTATATGTTCCCCTTTGAGAACACATCAAGCGTCCCAAGAAGCTGTTTTCCGTAATTAAGTGTTTTCACCGCGTTTTTAATTTGGGTATTTACGTTTTCGCAATATGAATTGGACCTCACAAAGCGAACGCCTTGATTTCATATAATTTTCAGTCCGCATTCGTAAATTAATTCAACGTATTTGTGCAAATACCGACAAATAAGGAAAGACGCCGGAAGCAAAGAGACAATACAATAAAAAATTCATTCGGAATATCGTCTTTACAAATTGGATGGCGCGCCCCTTAACCTTATAAGGTATTCTGCCAACTTCTCGGCGAAAGGAAACTGCGAGGCGTAATGAAGTGTGCAGGGAAAAAACGCCTCAACTGGAATCAAAATTTTAACTACATCACGTTGCCGCAATATATCTCCATATTTCAAGGTTTCTGTATTATCTTTTTCGTGGATGATAAGTTTGTGATTATATGATAATTCACTGCCCGAAAGGATTTTCCTTTCTCGGTTGCTTTTTTATTCCAAGTTGTGGTTATACTGTAAGATGCAGGTATGGAAGTATACGAATTTTAAAGCTCATTAGAAATTACAGAGTGATTTGTACAAATCTTCGATATTTACACTGTTAACGACCTTACAAGAAGGCGGTGACACGATAGACTGTAAACATTCGATGAGTCATCACGTATGGCAGAATAACTGCCTGTCGCTCTAGGGTAATTTGTTTTTCTATACATTTTAATTGAGGTATTTGATACCGAAAAAGCGACAAATTAAAGGAAACAGTATTCGTGAAGACGTGTGAATAGTTTAGCCGTCGGAATCTCAGAACTTAGGGTGTGAGATAAAAATATGTGTCAAATTATTGAAACTATTTATAAACTTATAAAACCTTGTGTTTCGTGTGTTACTATCTTTTTTTGCTATAATTATGGAATACTTGCTGTGTTCAGAACTGTAATAGGGAATTGGAAGAATGGACCAAAAGTGCCAATTATCACATTCACACAAGCGAAGGACTTGCAGAAAAAGGGAATACAAGCCATAAAAATAGAAGATTCGTTGTGATAAAAACCAAGTTAAAACACTTCGTTGGTTCAAAACTAGTTTTTATTTATTAATTCTTCGATTCAGTGCTAATAATACAATCTCTACTGACGGTGCAGGACCCTCTGTTTTACCTGGTTGTCCGAGTTATTTATCTAAGGTCGAATGTAATTAGAGAGAGAAAAAAAGAAATGTTTAAAATATCTATACACCACCTCTGTATGAATTTCTAGACAATTTTTATCTATTCTACATATTTTAAACAATAAAATAATGTAAAGCAAATGAATTTTCTTATCCTCTTGCACCTATATTTGATATTATGAACCCCAAACCAAATGATGATGTGATTTAGAAGGTGATGTATAAATCCGTAAATTTTAAAAAAATAGAATTGAAAGTTTTATTTTTTTATACACTAGAATCTCATAAAATTAGAAGTTCATTTAGAAACCTGAAGAGTAACCTACATGAACAATTTTATCATCCACTTTTTGATGTTACAAATTCAGTTTTCAATAAAAATGGATGTATTATAATCAGAAAATGAATTTTACTTCTCAAAAACACGTAACTAAACTGCGGAATATGACCGTTTCAAGTAACTACCTAATTGTTCCGTCTCTTTTTCTGAGAAACACGCAATTGTCAAACTCTCAAACAAAAAAAATTTGATCTGTACTGCATATCTAATCTCACTTCCAGAATGTATTTTTGTGTTATTACAACGTTGCTTATATGTAAATCTTTTATTTCAGCTATGAAAACTTCACTTCAAAAGTTGGTGAAAATCCACTTGCAATTATTTTGCGAATGAAAAACATGATTTTGTGCCTTAGTTTGCTAATATTTCATGTAGTGTAAGGACGGACAAGTTTTAAAAATTTAAATAATAAAGATTAATATCGAGTTCAAAAAATGTGCAAATTGACGAAATTACTGGAAGTGAAGAAAACAACAATAAACAATGAAAAAAATATAATAACATAAAACTTATATTTTAGCTTTATTTGATGCATCATTCCCATCTTCATGTCGTTTACATATATTTTTCCAACTCTTTGATTCCGATCATATTAACTCCAACTTTACTACTCTACTTTTGAATATACTAAATATTTGGCATTAATAATCGGAACAGACTCTTTTTTTAAGCGACGAGTAAGGTTGATAACCTATAGAAAACAAAGAAAAAAAAAAAGAAAACAACTTGTACAGAACGTCCCGTTCTAAATGGTTGTAATGAAAGTTTGCGAGGAACTTCCTCGCCATGTGATATGATTTTGCACTAATTATTAAAAGTAGTTTTTACAATGCTTCGCACTTTTAATTGTGGCAACCCTCACGTATCACTTGGACACTTATTACCCTACCAGATAATGGCAAAATTTTAAACGATATTTCTGAAACGGGAATTTTCAATAAAGTATGCCACTAAAATAGATTTTTACAAATGATATGTGCATATAGAGAGATATCTGGGCGCAGAGGAAAGGCATATTAAGCCCTGCTCCTTTTACATTTGACACATGCAACGTCAGAAGATTGCATATAAGCAAACCATGTGCTGACTTGTAATACAAGGTGGCACATCGAAACCGCAGGTACCGAAAAGCATAAATCTGAATTGACGAATTGTGAATGTGTCGATAGCTAGTAGATTTTAAACGATACAAGAATGAAGAGCAAACGGTTTGACCGTTAAAACAAATTTGAGGAAAGTAATTCAGCACGCTTAAACAATAACGTTGTACACACATACACCTGCTAATAATTTCTGGGAGCTTCGAAAAATAATCTTAATAACAACTCTGGAATTGTCATCAAATATCTAGCTAGCATTAGGGTGTTTGAAAATTGCGTTGAGCAAAATGGTAGTTCATACAGTATTCAAAATACTTTAAAAAAATACTTTTTTATTGTAAATATTGTATTGTAAGTATAGTATTAGGCTTGCCACACTGCAATTTTTAAAAACTACTTCCTTAGAACATAACACAAGTTCGAAACACTACTTTATTTGGAAGTCTTACAAAAAATCAAGTGAATCTAAGAAAAGCTCTGTTGTTCCTGCGGCGTACCGGGTATTTATACGGTAGCTGGACCGTGGGCGTCGAACAGTTCTAGAACGTTGAGGAATCGCGCTTCTTGGTCAGCATTACTCAGCAGACAATGTCATACAATACTAATGGCTTTGAGGTTCAATAATAATGTTATCCTGACATTGAGATTGTTGTAAACAAACGGATTGAATTACTCCATATAACATACATATACAGACACGCATCAACAAGTGAAATCAAAATATGATTTGTTTAAT